TTTTTTGCATTTTTTTAAATTTTATTTTGCTTGTTTATAAATTTTGAAAAAATGTTGTAAATAAGTATTTTCTTAGTAGATATGTTATTTATTTTTATTCTTTAAAAAATAATTCATGCATTTTCTTTATTTTCTTTTCCTTGTTGCCATTCTGTGTCACAGTTTTCCTACTGTGTTACGTTCCAGTTATTGACACCTGTTATGGATAATTACTTGATTGTTTTCTGAAGAAACATACACTACATGGTTGCCTTGGACTGTTTAGCATCATTTTGAGATACATACAAGTAAATGTGATGTTAGCTGTATTTAATGAAGATCTCATTGATCAAAACACTGCACAGTAAAGTGAATAACAACATAGTGGGAGCAAAGGACAGAGTGCAGATTCAACTTTCTCATTGATGATTCCATATTTTGTCCTCACAGAGGAACCAAATCACACAATAATATGCTGACCCTGGGGTTATATGAGGCCCATGGGGTTCCTGAGGTGTTTGTGCTGGTTGCCAGGGGTTTGCTGCGCCTCGCTGTAGACTTACAGAGTGATAAAAACCAGGTTGACTGTACTCTGGTAAGAGAAGGAAAGACAGGGATTTAAATCACAGTATTAAAACTAGACAGCGTTCAGAGAGTGCAAACCTCCACTAAGACAGCTCACTGTCCCCATAATGCAATTCCACCTAAAAGCATTGTTTGACCCTCATAATATCAAGTCAAGTCAAGAGCCAGAAAGAACACTTAGTCTTAAAATAAAAAAGTTACATAAAGGCAACAAAGAATTAAAAACCGCAATACACAAAAATAGGGTAATAGTATTTTCCCCAGTGAACTTCAAACATTGCACTTAGTAATTCACATGGTGGAGCTGGATATCTCATTACGCTTGGTGAGGTAGTGAGGGGTTATAACATACTAAAACATAGTTTATATTCAGGCTTGTTTCCATTGCATTAATGAATGTGACACATTCAAGATTTGGAGAACTATATTGATTTGCTTTCTTGCTGAGAGTAATCAATACTGTTCTCATGTCTATACACCACTGTAAATATGACGCTACAGACAGCAGCCAGTTAACTCATCTTAGTTTAGCATAAAGACTGGAAACAAAAAGGAAACAACTAGCCTGGTTAGCTAGTTATAACTTGTTAATTAGTGAGCTTTAGAGGTGCTGGTGGGTGGATTTTGTTATTTTTAGGCAGAACCAGACTACTTGTTTGCCTGTTTCCTTTATGCTAGGCTAACCAGCTGCTAGCAGTTGTTTCTTTTTCACTGCAGCCTACAGCCTAAAGTGGCATCACTCTTGTGATCTATGGACAACAAAGCCAATAAGCATCTTTCTGAGAATGTGAAATGCTTCCTTTAAAGTAGTGCCCCTTCATTTGCTGCATTTAAGACTCTTGTTCTATTTACAATAGAGTAGATGAGAGCAGACATACCAGTAGCTCCAGGGGAGGAAAGGCTGTACCCTCCCAGACTGTGACCTAGCAGGCCTGCCTTACCCATGGCTACCATGGAGCTGTTGCTGTGCAGTCCCTGGTACAAGAAACCCCTCTGATGATCAGATAAAGCAAAACAGTCAAACTGAAATGTCAAGGTCAGAGTGATACAATGACATCACAATATACTGTACATACTACATAGAACTTATGAATATTGGAGAGGTGTGAGTGAGTGAATCAAAGGGTGAAAACCTTTGTACAAGTTTGTAGAAAAATCTGCATGCATTTGGTGCATCAATTCAGTTTTGATAAAGAGCTTTGAGATGTTTTAGAAGTACTAGTATGGTTACCCCTCCTTGAACCGCCACCTTATTGTGGTGGAGGGGTTTGAGTACCCGAGTGATCCTAGGAGCTATGTTGTCGGGGGCTATATGTCCCTGGTAGGGTCTCCCAAGGCAAACAGGTCCTGGGTGACGGGTCAGACTAAGAGTGGTTCAAAAGCCCTTTATGAATAGATTAAAATCAAGGACCGTGACGTCGCCCAGCATGGTGCAGCCGGGGCCCCACCCTGGAGCCAGGCCCGGGGTTGGGGCTCGAATGCAAAATACACAAAGTACAGCTCGAATGCCTCCCCTCACGGGGCCCGGCCGGGCTTAGCCCGAACGAGCGACGTGGGGCTGTCCTCCCATGGGCCCACCACCTGCAGGAGGATCCGTAAGGGGCCGGTGCACAGTGGATTTGGGAGCAGTCGAAGGAAGGGGGCCCGACG